CTCCTACTTCTACTTCTATTCTAATCTATTATAATTCGACTTATGTACTAATATAACTTAATACTACTTACTACTACTTACTACTACTTACTACTACTTACTACTGCTTACTACTACTTACTACTACTTACTACTACTTACTACTACTTACTACTACTTACTACTACTTACTACTACTTACTACTACTTACTACTACTTACTACTACTTACTACTACTTGATACTACTTACTACTACTTACTACTACTTACTACTACTTACTACTACTTACTACTACTTACTACTACTTACTACTACTTACTACTACTTACTACTACTAACTACTACATACTACTACATACTACTACTTACTACTACTTACTACTACTTGCTACTACTTACTACTACTTACTACTACTTACTACTACTTGCTACTACTTACTACTACTTACTACTACTTACTACTACTTACTACCTTATGGTCGGTTTGAACTTGTGCTACTTGCATTAAGTTGTAAGTATGGTTTAACATGAGTTTAATTAAGGTAAGTGGATGTTAAGTAGGCAGTAAGTAACTTAGTGTAAGAGCCTACTTGTAGTCAGTTGAAGTTACTTGAAGTAAGTTGCATTTAATTAACCTACTTGTGAAGTAGGAATTAAGTAGGTGGAAGCTGTTGGTGCTTAAGTTGTCTAAGTTAGTTTTTCTAACTTAGTTCTACTTATGTTCTACTTATTTCTACTTAACCTAGTTATGCTTTTTATTGGCTTTTGAAAGTTTTTTCCAAACGGTATGTAGTTTGGCTTTGTTTTCTTAGTTTTTGTTTGAGCGCGTCTTTTAGATGGAAAGTCAAGTTTTTCGTTGGTTATGTGTCAATGTTGACGAAATGTTTGCATGGTTGAGCGGTGTGTCCGCTTTTTTTGTTTTTGAAAGAGACCAGCTGGAGCATTACACGCAGATGCTGCAAATCGCATCTCTCCCGGCGCATGTATAAGTATAGAAATATCTATCTATCTTTCTTTCTTTCTATCTATCTTTCGATCTCTCTAACTGTATATTTTTGCATATCAAAGAAAATAGAGCGGTCTGTCCGCTTGTTGCATTGCTATATGTCCTGCGGTATGTCCGCTCTTGTTGTCTGTTTCGCATGTCTCTCGGCCTCAGTTTTCCTCTTGCTTTCTGTCTCTTGCTCCAGAACTTGGTGAGCTCTGCTCTTTCTTGTCTGTGCTTTTTTTTAACTCAATCTCTGCCCTGGCTGGTGTGTTGCTATCTCTGTGCTATCTCATGCTATCTCTGTGCTATCTCTGTGCTATCTCTGTGCTATCTCTGTGCTATCTCTGTGCTATGTCTGTGCTATCTCTGTGCTATCTATGCTATCTCAGGTGGGGGACAGTGCTTTGATCTGCGCTATCTCTGTGCTATCTCTGTGCTATCTATGCTATCTCATGCTATCTCTGTGCTATCTCTTTGCTATCTCTCTGATATCTCTTGAATATTTCTCTCAAATCTGTGGCCTTTACACAGACTGATGCAGAAGATGCTGCCCACCCTGAAGGACATGCACCCCAGTCTCGTTTGGCAGGTGTCCGTGGTGACTGAGGATCTTCTCACGCTCTTGTCCTAGTCGTACACATGCAGTGGGCCTTTGTAAAAGAAACCATGCGCGGGAATTGTTTTGCTATCTCATGTATTTGCGTTTCAACATATAAAAGAACAATATTTATCGTTTTTCAATACAATGCATTAATATTAGCGGTGTGCCCGCTCAATGATATATATAGGAAGCGGTGTGACCGCTATCAAGATAAACATATATTATGTATAGCATAACTAGTTATATAATATTATATCTGTTCATGTCTGTCTTTAAGTTTTACTAACCAAGAGCGGTGTGACCGCTCGAAAGCATCGATAAAAAAATTGTTTCCTTATTGAGCGTCGAGCGCGGCAAACCCCAAAACAAGTTCTTCTGCTTAGTCAGCGCGCCCATGCTGTTTCACCAAAAATATACCAAAAAGCTCTCGAAAACTAAAGTTAGTTTAACCTCTCCAAACCTAAGTTCGGATTTCTTTCTCACTTTTTTCAAAAACAAGAAGTTTCTACTATGTTCTACTTATTTCTACTTATTTCTACTTGTATACTACTTATGTTTACTTGTAAGTAACTTGTGACCAACTTAAAAATACTTACGTTTAGTATTAGTTTTAAATTACAACCTAAGTAGGGTATAAGTAAACATAACTAGCATAAGTATTTGTAAGTTTGCATAAGTAGCACAAGTTCAAACCGACCATTAGGTACTACTTACTACTACTTACTACTACTTACTACTACTTACTACTACTTACTACTACTTACTACTACTTGCTACTACTTGCTACTACTTACTACTACTTACTACTACTTACTACTACTTACTACTACTTACTACTACTTACTACTACTTACTAGTACTTACTACTACTTACTACTACTTACTACTACTTACTACTACTTACTACTACTTACCTTACTTACGACTACTTACGACTACTAACTACTACTACTACTACTACTACTACTACTTACTACTACTTACTACTACTTACTACTACTTACTACTACTTACTACTACTTACTACTACTTACTTACTACTACTTACTACTACTTACTACTACTTACTTTACTACTACTTACTACTACTTACTACTACTTACTACTACTTACTACTACTTACTACTACTTACTACTACTTACTTACTACTACTTACTTACTACTACTTACTACTACTTACTACTACTACTACTACTACTTACTACTACTACCTACTACTACTTACTACTACTTACTACTACTTACTACTACTTACTACTACTTACTACTACTTACTACTACTTACTACTACTTACTACTACTTACTACTACTTACTACTACTTACTACTACTTACTACTACTTACTACTACTTACTACTACTTACTACTACTTACTACTACTTACTACTACTTACTACTACTTACTACTACTTACTACTACTTACTACTACTTACTACTACTCTTACTACTACTTACTACTACTTACTACTACTTACTACTACTTACTACTACTTACTACTACTTACTACTACTTACTACTACTTACTACTACTTGCTACTACTTACTACTACTTACTACTACTTACTACTACTTACTACTACTTACTACTACTACTACTACTACTACTACTACTACTTACTACTACTTACTACTACTTACTACTACTTACTACTACTTACTACTACTTACTACTACTTACTACTACTTACTGCTACTTACTACTACTTACTACTACTACTACTACTACTACTTCTTCTACTACTACTACTTCTACTTCTACTTCTACTTCTTCTTCTACTTCAACTTCTACTTCTACTTCAAATTCTACTTCTACTACTACTACTACTACTACTACTACTACTCCTCCTCCTCCTACTCCGACTCCCACTCCCACTCCTACTCCTACTCCTACTCCTACGCCCACTCCGACGCCTACTCCGGCTCCTCTACCGACTCCTCTACTCCTCTACTCCTTCCTCTCTTCTTCCCCAAGTACTACACTGGTAGTGCTGGTAGCTAATGACATTGCCTTCGGCGTTACTGTCGTCTACAGGTACTCGTCACAGGACGCACACGGTACTGATCGACCAGTACTCATTTGGTATGCGTTCCATTAGCTGTTCCAGCACGCACTTGCTACTCAAGCTGCTTCTGATCTTCGGCTCTGTCTTCGTCTTTTCTTCTCTCAGGTTTCCACCTAGCGTGCACGTCAACCTCTTTTTGGGCAATCTCTCTCCCCTGTCTCCTTCCATGCAGCAGTCTGCTGTCAAGCCAGAGGCTCATACATAGTACCCACCGGGGGCGGTACTAAATTGGTATACGGTATACAGTCAATGAGTTATTACAGCAAACCTTGCTACACAAGCCGCTTCTGTTTTACGGCTTTGTCTTCGTCTTCCTTTCTTATTCTTCTTATTATTCTTCTTCTTCTCCTCCTTCTTTTCTCTTCTGCTCTCTCGCGGGCTTCCACCTAGAATGCACATCAAACTCCCTTCGGGCCACCTCTTTATCGCCGGCGGGCTTGCCGAAGGCAATTTAATATGGTGGCAACCATTTGCGGCACCTGAGGCAAAGAAAAGGATCTTGAACATAGAGCATCAGCTGATGCAACAAGATCCGGATATTCCGCACGAAAAGCTGCCTAGGTGCAGGTCAAAATGCGAAATTCTGATGAGCCTGATGGCTCAAAACTGGCATGGTCCTGAAGAACATGGAAATCGATATAGTTTCAGCTGAGATGCTGCTCCCTCTGAGTGCATGCCATTCGCATCTGCCTGGCTTGGAATCGCAAATATACTTGCAAGGCTGAAAGATCGGTCTAGGTCAGTATGGCATCTTGCTTGAACAATGGCACAGAGTCCTACCTGCCTGCTGCACTCGCTGGCAAAACTCATCAATACTCTTGATGAGGCGAACGCGCACATCTTTTTCCCGGTTGAGCACTGCCTGATCCACATCAGGGGCCCAGTCGCATTCAAATCCCAAAAAGTTTTACTTGGCTTGAGAGTTTAGGACAAAGCAGAGATTCCACACAGACACAAGAATTTTGCCCTGCATGCTATGGAATTTGTTGGGTCCCACCACCAGTATCACGTATCATTGAGGTGCAGCAGTGCGGAGTGTGACGCTTCGTAAAGTAATCTGCCATTGTCGCACCTGTTTCAAGCTTTCCACCGAGTTCAAGTGGCCACGAAGCATCTGTCATGAACAGTGTGAAACAGCCAAATCCCCGTCGAAGATACACGAAATGGCGAGAACAATGGCTGGACATGGCTAGACTTCATCATGTGCAACCTGCAAGTCTCAATTAGAAGAGACGGCGTGTCTTCGAGTTTCCCGTTCACAACTTCAAGGTAACAGCTCCACGACCTCGAAGTCTTCCCTTCCTTCACGTTCTGCTTCGGCGCAGCTCTGCCGCAGTTCAGCACCTTTTGCTTCAATGCCCTCACGAGTTTGCATGGCTCGAGTTCAAGGCAAATTTACAAAAAAAAAGATCATGAATGCTAGGAAGCCCTCAGCACCATATTCACCAAGTTGCTGTACTGGCATGGGGGAAGTAGTTGCAAACTTTAAATGAAATGTAGCAATTGTTCTTGAAGAGTTGGGGCACTATCGGCAAAATTATGAAAAATTCTGATAAATTATAGGTGTTGTCAGGATTGTCTTGGAACATGGGATATACACTGGTATATCTGTAACTGGTATAATTCCAAAGGTGAACCATCTGTGGGGATTGTGTCAATTACAGTACATTGTAATCATGTCATCATTTCCACCAAAACCATCGCCGCCAGAAAAACAGCCGCGCCTTGACAGCCTCTGAAAGCTTCTTCCGCTGTGCGCGGAGCTCGGGCAAGAGCTGGCGAGCAGCCTATGGCATAAATCGTAGAAATTTGAAGAGCTATGCCTTTTCTGAAGGGCCTTCCCCTGCTTTCCCATGCCCGAATGTCATGTTTAGCAATCTTTGTGATCTTTGTGATGCTTGCTTTTCATCAAGGCGGTTCTGCGCCATTCATCTCACATCTAGGAAATCTGCGTCCATCGGTTCCATTTCATTCCATTTCATGGCCTGGAGCTTGCTTCTGAACTCCTTGCAAAGCAGGAGTTTGACGAAGTAACAATCATTGTTTTGTTCCCCACATTGACGTGTGGGGTTTTTGTTTTTAGTGCTGTATCCGCTCCGCCTTCCTCCGTCCTCCCGTCCCTCCTCCCGCCTGTCACACACTTGCTCAGAAACATCTTATCGAATTACTGATGTGGAATGCATCTCACGTGCAAAAAACAATCCAGTAAAGCCTGACAGGAGAAAGTGGATGACTAGGCGTGAGAAACAGTAAAGAGGAATTCTTTCTACGTCCTTGCTAGATGCAACTGTTTCATCTGACGAAGTCAGCAGTAAATCAGATTGCGAAAACCGTACAGTGGTTTGAAAACAGGTGGAAACAAAGTTCCAGGTATGTTTTCAGCGTCCTTGCTCTGAGGAAGGTTCTGATGCAACTTTGTCCATTATGAAGAAAAGGAAACGAAACGACATGCCGGTTCTGGGCTTAGCCGGTAGCCATGGACGATAAACTGAAAATTGGAAATTGCAGGTACGTCGGGATGATCAGTCCCGATATCACAATCTCAAACCACCGTCTTCGTTGGGCAGTGGATGGAATGAGATTCACTGCCCCCCTGCATGAAAATGAAATCAGAAAATCATGAACCACAACAAAATAAAAGTGCACCGAAGTACCGGATAGAAGTTTTACATCTGTACAGATGGTCCACACACACGCCCCGCTGCCGCGAGGCTTTTCTCTGGAGATCACCAGCGGTGAAAGGCTATTATCCGTTCCCTGAAGCGGAAATGGCTTCAAAATACAGGGAAGAAATCAGCTGCTGAATTATTCCTACAGCTCACAAGGCCTCGTCAGAAAATGCCTCCATGCGACGGGCTTGATCTGACAATGTGCGGGTAGATTCTGCCAGGTGACTGGCAAGATGAGCCAAGTCTGCTGCCGAGAAGATCTCGACCGGATGTCTTGACAGGTCATCATCTGGATCCTCGAGACGTTCGAGTATTGCCATGTTGGCATCCCTGTCATTGTTGAGAATGTTCCAGAAGAAGGTTGCCAGTTGTTGAATCTGGACAGGTGGTGGAGTAATGTCCACATTGGCGATGATGGAGTCGGTGTCATCCATGCCAGATTCTTGTACCGATACTGGGCTTTCTGGAGCTTCATGGTGATGGGGATGCCAATTTCCATCCGGGGGAATCTCTGGAATTTGGAAATAGCGACGCCAGTAGTTGGCAAGTTGGGAGGATTGATCCCAAGAGTCAATCCAACCGTTTCGACCAGCACGAATGTGGCCGATGATCCCATTGAAGAAGAACTCCGGCTGCCTGTTTCGATGGATCCCACGTCGATCCACTTCCGTCACCATCAGTCGGCGAAGTGCCGGTTGGGAATTGTCATCATGAGGCGTTTGAACCTCGACAAAGTAGTATGCGTGAAGCTGACGACGAGTTTCTGCCAATTCCATCTGGAGTGGATAAGCTTCTTCTGCAAGTCTTGGAAGAATTGGAGTCTGGTGATCGGCAGGAGCTGGGATGGGTGTGGCCGTGTCTGCCGTTGAATACCCATAATGGGACGTATGGTCACCTGATCCTGCAGGTAGGATGGAAGGTCCAGCATCAGGAGCTGTAGGATCAGTGTCACTGCGAGACGGAGTAAATGAGTCCGAAGGAGCAGCAGTGCTACTGGGATATCCATGACTACGAGATCTCCATGAATGACGACGTGGCATGCTCATGGACGATGAAGGATACGTGAAGCCGGCAAGAAGGGAATCACGTTTGGTCATGGTATAGCTGGAGCCAAGTGCTGAAAAAGAGCCAATAAGTTGGAAACAAAACCAAAAAAGGTCAAGGACAAGAAGACGAAAAAGAAACCAAAACCAAGTCGGCAATGCAAAGGAACTTTTTGACCATCTCAAGGAAGCATGTTGCGATTGGGAAGCGCTTCATGGCAGCTCATGCGCATGATATAAGGCTGAAGGTGAGACGTAAACGGTCGAATATCATTGGGAAACAACAGGCCACATTCTTGACCTTCAATCCAATGAGGCCGGAAATCATGGAGAAGATCAACAAGTCGGTTTTCGTTGCGGAGAGCAAATGTATCTCCAGTTTCGTCTTGCCATCTGATGTCCATGGAAGACGGGGGCAAGTAGTGGTCCCAGGTGTACCAGATGTGCTGGCTGATGCAATAAAGAAGGTTGTACACAGTGAAGGATTCGAGACGATGGGTATTGAGTAAGACATTGTAGGTGAACAGGGCTCGTTCTTCCACCCTGCTCAGGGACGGTGTGACATCGCATGTCGTGGCATCCATGACATCATCATGGGTTTTGGTCATGAGTGGACGGACCGATTGAAGATCCACAATCGCAAGTACTTTCCGGAGACGAGGTGCAGGGGGTACCTCAGGTCTTGGATCATATGGTCGCCCACGTTGTTGTGAGTGATGACTATGCCACATGGGTTCGTCCCGCGAACGAGAACGTTCAGGAACGGTTCGTCTATAAGCTGATGAATGAGCCATATTTGCTGAGAAAAACGAGGAATGGAAGAAGAGACAAACACAGAACAGGAGAAAAAAGAAACCACAAGGAAGGAAGAAGAAAGGCCCAAACGAGAGGAAAACCTGTTTAGTGACCCCACATGCAGGCTCACGTCTTTCACGCATTGACAGTGCAATACTGTTAGTTAGTCTTCCGCCTCTGGTTCGAGGGGTGGGTTGGCACGACCGTGTTGGTCAAAAGTCCCAAGTGTCTGCTTCAGGATGCCCCATCTCAATTTGCATACCTGGGGATCGCGATGAAGTCTTGCACCGATCGTCTTCCAAGAAGGACGGGACTTTGTGTCCTGTTTCATACTCATCAGCTCTTGATCATCTGCGTTGGTCCATGGACGGAATGGTGGATCACGAGGTGGATCCGTTGGATTTGGCTGAAGGATTCGATGCGGTGGAGATGCTGGTGCCTTGGGATTGGGAGTCAACGTAAGTGCAGAGTTACCAGGAGGAATGGTAACGTGGGATGTAGACTCGCCACGATGGCCATAATTGACTTCAGTGTCGTGAACGGAAGCCGCTGCTGATGCGGCATCGCCGTCAGAGTCATCAGAATTGAGGGCATTGGTAACGGCTTCTGAGGTAATTGGAAGCGGGCCAGGAATGACGTCTCCCTTTGCCATCGACAGTGGAGTTTCCGGAGGATTGGACAATTTTTGTCTCTTCTTTGGTTGCGGGTCAACTGTTGAAGAGACCCTTTGTTTGGAACGAACCGGAACTGGGATTGTGGTCCGAGGTATTCCGCGTCCAGGTTCAATGCTAGATGGATTTCCTGGATTAGGATCGGGATCCGACATGGGAACTGGGCTGTGGATGCCAACAGGGTTGGTGGATGAATGGTCCCGTTCCATTTGAGATGGAGGTCGCAAGGTGGTGGGACGAAGGTTGGGTTCAGGATTTTCCACCATGTGAGACGGGATGCCTCCATGTGTTACCATTGTGGGTGATACTGACGATGGAGGAAAAGGAACGAAAGTGCGCAGGCTTCTTGATCTCATGCTGTCAAGACGGAGATTTTGAGGAGGCAAATAGTCCTCCCATTCAATGGAGGGTTCGAAAAAGGGAAGAAGCCCTGCCAAATAATTCAAATGCATCAGAGCCCGAGCCAGATGGTGATGGAAAGCACGACCTTGAGCGTGATCCATCAGAGGGAATGTCACCGTGAGAAGAAAGGAGCGAGCGAAGGTTGAGCCAAGAAGCTGCCAAGAGACAAACAAAAAGACACACGACAAACCAAGAGGAAACCGAAAAGAGACAAAACCAAGGAAAGAAAGAAGGAAAACAGCCAAAAAACACACGCAAACAAACCAAAAGGAACCGTGGGCAAGCAAGCGGGAAGCCCTTGTTTGACACTGTGGTGGAAAGTACTGATGCTGAATCAAGAGTTGATCAGAGATTGTCTGGAGTTCCTCCTTGGGAAACCCAGCGCGAGTGTACAAATGAATTAATTGGGTCAGACCTTGTTGAACACGAAAAGCTGGGAAAGCACCCTTGATGACGATGTGGCAGCGTGAGCGGAAACCACTGAGAAGGACCGTTGGAGGGGAAGCTGAAAAAGGTGAAAGGACTTGAGAGATATTGGTTGGTCCTTGATAAATCAGCTCCAAGGGTTTTGTTTCGAGCATAAACCCAAGATATTCTTGGTCAGGTTCCGTCTCGAGGATTATGGGTTTTCCGTAGAAGCCGTCGTCCAGGAGAACTTCATATGGTGCAAGTTCAGTGAGGCGTTTGTCACCAAAGATCAGACGATTGTCAACATATCGGATGTGTCGAATGAACAATGATGGTTAGAGAGGATTTGGCGAAAGGTACTGGACCAAATTTGCTCACTGATGGAAA